TTTTAATTACTGCTTCAATCTCTATTTGTTATTGGACTGTTTAGATTTTCTGTTTCTTCTTGATTCAGTTTTGGTGAATGGTGTATGTTCAGGAATGTAACCATTTGCACTAATTTTCCATTTTTTAGCATATATTGTTCGTAGTTTCTTATGCCCTTTTGTATTTCTATGGTGTCAGATGACTTGCCTCCTTTTTTCTCTTTGTCTAGCTAACCGTCAGTTTTGCGGGAGAAAACTCTCCCTTTTCACTGATCTTTCGTAGTTTTTAGTTTTGATTTTATCTGCACACTCAGATGTGTTATTTCTTTCCTTCTATGAATTTGGGGTTGAGTTTGCTCTTTCCTGGAGGAGGCACCTATTGCTGTAACCCCCTCAGTGCTGCTTCCGCTGCAGCCCACAGGTTTTGGTGTGTTTTGTTGTGACTTTCATTAGTTTCTAGAAACTTTCGGTATCCCTTTGAATTTCCTTGCTTACCCATTGGTGACTTTAAGAGCTTGTGATTCTGCTGTCATGCCTTTCTGCGCTTCCCTCCTCTTCTGTGGTTCCAGTGCACTGTGGTCTGGGAGGATGGGCGGCCCAGCTTCAGTTGTGTCCTGAGATCTGTCTGTCCTGAGGCCTCTGCGTGCTGGCGGGGGGACTGCACGCTGCCACCGCTGATGACACATGCCACTGGACCTTTGCGCTGCAGTGCCGTTGCCTTGGTCCTTGATGTTCATTGAGGAAAGTGAGGTGCTGCAGTCCCCCACTGTTGCTGGCTTAGATCAGTCCCTCCGTGCTGGGTACATACGTTACATATTCTTGCTTAATTAATCCTTTTGTGAATATGTAATTGCCTTCTTTGTCTGTACAGTTTTTCGTTTAAAGCCTCCTCTCCCTGGCCTAGTGAAGGTCTCCTGCTTGGTTTTGGTGTCCTTTTGTGTTGTATATGTCTCTCCAGCCCTTTGCTGTTAGTCTGTGTCTTTACCAGGAAAGTGAGTTTCCTATAGGCAGCCAACAGAAGAGCCTTTTTGGAAATCCACCCAAGCAGTCTAAATCTTTCGATTGGTGAGTTTAATCAGTTTATATTAAAGGATTTCATTTTTGTTTATTGGAGACAGGGTTTCACTGTGTAGCTCAGGCTGGCCTCAAACTCATGGCGACCCTCCTGCCTCAGCCTCCCACGAGCTAGTATTACAGGTATCCGCCCCCACTCCTGGCCAGAGGTTATTATTGATAATGTGAACGTCCTCCTGCCATTTTGTTAATTGCATTATGCTTGCTTTACATATTTTTGTTCCTTGCCCTCATTTCTGCAGTTTGGTGATCTTCTGTCATTCCATGTGATTCTGCTTTTTCTCTTTTGCTTATCCGTTCTTTTCATGAGCTTGTGTGTTCGCCTCTTTCCAGGCTTCTCCCGCAGACTCCCTGGAGAGCCCCTGCCGGGGCTGCCCGCCGCTGCTGCTCTGCTCCTCTCTGCCTGGCTGGAGGAGGCTTCCTTCCCTCCCTTATGAAGGGCAGGGGCCGCGCTTCCCGCTGGAGCTTTCTCCTCTCAGGATGCGAATATGGCGCCCGCTCTCCCTGGGCTGCCCGGTTTCCGCAGAGCAATCTGCTGTGGGTTTGGTGGCGGTCTCCTGTGTGTGAGTCGATGCTCTTCTGCTCTTCATCAGATTTTTGTCCTGTGCTTCTGACACTGTGACCTGTGCGGCCCTGTTCTGTGGATCTAGCTGGTCCTGTGCACTTCTGCAGTCTGGGCGCATGTCTCTGAGGACTGGAGGAGCTTCCCGCTGTGCCGGGGCACGCTTCCTCCCGGCTGCCCTCCCTGGTGTGCGTGTCCCCCTGCAGTGCCCCGCGTCTCAGCAGCTGCTCTGCCCCCTCCCCGTCTTCCGTCTGCCGTCCTGAGCTCCTCCCTGTTGCCAAACACATTTCACTGACGTCCTCCGTCCCAGATTTCGGGTGGTTTCTTCTGTCTGAATTCTCTTCGCTGAGTTTCTTACTCATATTCGGAATTGTTTTCTCATTTCTCTGTATTATTCATCGGTATTTTCTTAGCGCTCGTCGGGTTTCCTTAGGATCATTATTTTAAATTCTTCAGAATTTAATTTCATAGGTTTTCTTCAAACTGGGATCTAGAGCTGGACCATTGGTGATCATCTTTGGAGCTGTCATGTTTCCTTATATTAATACCTGTGCATCTGTGGTTCCTCTCTCTCTCTCTCTCTCTCTCTCTCTCTCTCTCTCTGTCTCTCTCTCTCTCTGTCTCTGTTTCTCTGTGTGTGTGTGTGTGTGTGTGACACAGGAAACTGAATCCCAGGGCCTTCTCACGGAGCTACCTTCTGGCCCTTTTTTACTTTTCAGTTTTGAAACAGGACTTCCCTAACCCACTGAGTCGCCCAGTCTGGGCTTGAACTTGTGACCCTCCTGCCTCGACCTCCCAGAGCGCTGGGATTACAGGTGTCCACCACTACACCTGGTAATCCTTCCTTCCAGTTGTATGGACACCTCTTCTAGGTCCCCAGGTGAACACAGGTGTGCTGCGTTTGTGGCCTGGTGACATGGTGCTTTTGAGCACAACAGGGAGCCTTCCTTGGGTGCTGTGGGGTGAGTGCAGGGAGCTCTGGGCCTGTGGTGCTGTGAGCTGTGTCTGTCCTGTCTCCGGGTCCCCTGGGATAGGTACAAGTCCTGCGAGGACCCTGGCAACAGAGCTGTGGCCCACAGGCCAGGGTTATGGCAGTGATGTTCCCAGGTCATCCGGACAGCTGCAGGTGGTGCAGCAGCTGGGGGAGACCTTGACCATGTCCTGGGGCTCCGAGTGCAGGCGGTGCTGGGCCCTGGAGTGTCCCTAAGCCACACCATGGATGCTTCGGTGCTGCTGTGACATCCTGGAGTGGAAGAATGCAGGTGGGCTCTTTCAGGTCCCCAGAGCTGCACTGAGTGAGCAGAGGCTTGGCACCAGTGACCGCAGTCCCAAAGCCACAGACCGGGAAGGAGCCCACTACGAAACAGCGCCCCAGTCCTTGGGCCCTCCCGAACCCTGCTGGGCACGCGTGGGCACCTGGGTGGAGGCTGAGGCGGCTGCTGTCCAGCCTCCTGCCCTGGGAGGTCACAGCCAAGGCCTCTGGCCGGCCATGCGCTGGCACCGACCCCCTAAGCCAGGATTCTCTCTTGAGGTGGCTCTTGATCTAGTTTGAGTCTGGCTGGGGGAGACCAAAGCGAGGGTGCACCTTCAGAGCAGCAGCTCCCAAGCGGGCTCGAAGCTTCTGAGTCCCTGGGGTCCTCCTGCAGTTGGGGCTGCCAAGGCACTAGGAGCCCTGCTCTGGGGAGCCAGAAACCCTTGTCCTCTGCTCATGCCGCCGAGGGCTCCCTCCACCTCTCCCGCGGGGTGCTTGACACGCAGGCTCTCTTAGGACGTGGGCACCAGCCCCTTCTCGCCCTTCGGCAGACGCTGCGTAGTCTTTCTCAGACAGAAAAGCACGGGTTCCCAGAAACAGGGCATCCGGATGGGGGCCGCCGTGTGGTGGGGACCCCGTCGTCCATTTGACGGAACCTAGGGTCGCTCTGCTCTTTACCTGTCCCTTGAGCCCCTAAACCGGAGCCCTCCCTGTCTCTGCAAAGCGTGCTGCCAGCCAGGCACTGTTCTGTTTGTTTTGTTCGCACGGGGACCTGTGAGCGCAGTGGGAGGAGCTCACCCAGTCCCAGACCTCGCAGCATCCGGTCCAGGGCTCTTCCTAATGTCCTGTGGCCCAGGTTAGACATTCATGGCCAGAGAACCCTTGGGGAAGCACTGGCCTCGTGCAGAAGACAGTGGGCCTTCAAGATGACTGTGTCGGACAGGTGCTCAGAGACATCAAGCCAGTGTGTCCCTGGACAGGTGCTCTCCTTCCCAGCGCAGGGACAGAGCCGACATGACAGCACTCAGCACCACCCTCAGCCCAGCTGCCAGGACAGCAGGAGATGACAGGTGCTGGGCATGGATGGGACCTTCGAGGGCTTCCTCCTGCAGGTGCCTGGTGTCATTGAGGCCCATGAGGACGGGGGCAGTGACAGCCATGCTGTCGTCTGTAGCACTAAGTTGTGTGCCAAGGACCAGCTGCTGACTGACCCAGTCCGCGTTCTGGTGGCTCCGGTTCCTGGAGATGGGGGTGAGAGCGCGCCCCGGCCATGGCCAGTAGGGGCGGGGAGAGCGCTCAGCACCAGCAGCCCAGACACCGGCTAGGGCCACACTGCCTTCCCCTGCAGCGTGTGGACACTGGAATCCTCCCTCTAAATAGATCAGAGGAGAAAGGTTTATGTGATCTGGCGAGTGAGCACTTCTCAAGGTTGACCTCTTGGAAGGCGTGTACCCGCGTCACCCGTGTTGGAGTCCCACTGCCGGCCTGTGTCCGGGCGCCCACCTGCTGCTGCCGCTGCCCTCACCGGGGCACCGCAGTTTCTGCCGCGCCAGGAGTAGCGGAGTGGCCAGTGTCCTGCTCCGCTGCCTTCGCTGCACTTGCTGGAGAGACCACTGGTCGCTCCCTTTTGGCTCTGTCCCCTTGTCGCGGTCTGACTGCCTCCCAGGCTTCCCGCACAGACGGAAGCAGAAGCGGAAGCCGCCCCGCGGGGTGCAGCTGAAGCACAGTGGTGGCTCAGGTCACAAGCTTGACTCTCCGTGATTCAGGTCGCAAACCGAACTGGACAAGAACCGCATCCAGTTTCCCTAGAAGGTCCACGGTGAACCTAACCATTTAATCTGATGCGGTTCTTGTCCATCTTGTCTCAGTTGATAATCAGAATTGTGAAAAGAACTCAGTTCGTGAACCGAGGTGAACTACTGTGACTGGGAGCCTCGCTGCCGGCGAGGGGACTCCTGAGAGACGTGCATGCCATGTTGTCTGGTGGAGAAAGCCATCCCTGTCCGCTGAACATCTGTCCTCTGTACATCTGTCCTCTGGGGGCTGCTGCTCCTCCCAGGAGGCTGCGGTCTGGCTCTGGCGTGCAGGGGTCAGGGCTGCCGGCGCCCCCGCTGATGGTGTGCTGTCTTGCAGGTGTTTGCCTTGCTGTGGATTGCAGACTGGACGGTCCACCACTTCTGGAGGAAGGGAAAGGACCCGGACAGCTTCTCCATCCCCTACCTGACCGCGCTGGGGGACCTGCTGGGCACGGCTTTGTTAGCCTTAAGCTTCCACTTCCTGTGGCTCATTGGAGATCGAGATGGAGACGTGGGGGACTAGGGAGCCCTGCAGGCCCTGCTCCGTCACCAGGGGAGCACGCAGGGCAGCCGCCTCTGGCTCTTTCCCAAAACTGCACGGAGTCGGAAGCCATCATTGATGTGGCCAGGGTGATCTTTCATGGGCGCGATTCCACTGAATGGCCTTAACATTTTTTAAGGAATTTGTGCTAAAACCAGAAGGAACAGTATTTGTGCTGCTTTTTTAGAAGAATTTGTCATAGACCCAGCTACAAACTCAAGAAAGAAAGACTAAGAAATGTTTACAGTGAATCATTTTGAAACCACAGACACGGCAGTCACGCACTTTGTTACTGTTTGGGGTGTAAGGCAGAGGAGGCAGTGCTGGGTTGCCTTTTCTCTCACAGATGCACGAACTGCAAAGCGTCCTCTAAAATGAAGGGTACCCGTCCACGCTCTGCAGTTTTACCTGTGCCACCTCGATGCTAGCTGGGGTAAATTCTCCAACCACTTAAACGTGTGAGTAGATGCGCTCAGGTGCATGCGAAAGTAGCTTGTCCCAGTGCTGAGCTAACGTCAGCTCTGCGGTGCTGCCAGGCCGCCTGTAAACACAGAGCCATCCTGACAGATCCCGGTGAAACCAGGGGCTGTGTTTGATGGCTGATTCATAGAAACAACGTTGCTGTTTTTCACAGTTTCAGATTCAAAAACAAGCTAGCCTGAGCTTCATTTGTAGAAACAAGATGGCAAGAGAAAGTGTGAGGGTGTGTACACACGCGTGTGCATAGGTGGCAGAGAGGCACTGTCTGGGGGGCTGGGCCCTGGGTTGCTGACAGTAGAGATGAGAGCTCTGGGAATAAAAACCTTACGGTTAATCTTCAGCACGTTTATTACCATACGTTGGTCATTTGATCCCAAAGTTTACTACGGACCAGAACTTGCTTTGTTATCTGCATTATAATTAGTGCTGTCCTCTTTTACAGAAAGCTGTACCATTGAGTAGAATCCAGACCCCAGACAGAATGAACGAGCAGCTCCCCAGCCCTGTAGAGGAGCCTGGCAGTCCCTTGGGCGAGCGCTCACGCCCCTCCGCATCACCCTTCAGCACAGGCCGCGGTGGCCGTGTCACACAGCGCTGCACGTCTCGGGTGCGCGTTCTAAGCCACGTCCCAGCTTCCAGTGGGTTTGATTTCTCACACCACATCATTCACTTTAAAAATGCAGTGCAAGGCCAAACACGGTGGTGCACACCTGTAATCCTGGCACTCAGGAGGCTGACGCAGGAGGCTCACTTAGAGTTCTAGACCTGGGCGTCAGCGTGGGCTCGAGGCAGCCTGAACTCACAGCAAGACCCTGTCTCAAAAGACAAAAATTTAAAAAACCAGTGCAATCTCCCCAGACCATTAGGTAGTAATTTAAAATGATAAGGGAATAAAAATGCCTACCACTTCGATTACTGTGCTTGTAGTTGTTAGTGTTAGGTGTTTATAGTCATACTGGAGAAGTACCCTCATTAAGTTCTTTAAAATAAGGGCCTGTGGTTTATTTTGAAACTTTATTTCATTCTTCTGCCTCACAGTGAATCTTTGAAGGCAGAGACTGAACTAATTATGGAATTTCTCCTTTGGAGAGTTACAGTGTCACAAAGTGAACATTTTTATAAAAGAATGATTACATTTAAGCATTTAAGTTGACAAACATTTAGGTACAAAGATTTATTTTTTAGAATATCCAGGAACAGTGGCTTTTTTTTTTTTTTTTTTTGGAAAAGCGCCTGTAAATCCCTTACTTACGTTCAGGCCCTGTGTTCCCAGCCGTGTTCCCTCCCGGCAATCTCTGTTGGTTTGTGTAACTCATGCAGTGCAGCGCAGTGGGACACCGCGGCGTGGGGCACCCACAGCACCGCTGTGCCCTGCATGCCTGCACCCCGCTCCCGCCCGCTCTGCCACAGAGGGGAAGGAGCTGCAGGGAGACCGCGCTTGCAGCGTGGCACAGCCGCACAGTGGCCAGGCCGTGGGTCTTCTGTGCCGCGTCCGGGACCCCACGCAGGCAGCCGAGCGAGGGAGGCACAGGGTCTCCACACCTCCCCGAGTGTGTGAGAGGCAGCGAGTCCAGCTAGCTCTTAAGTCCCTAAGATCAAGGGAAACATAAACAGAATAATGAAAATACTTTATGAAATACTTCACTGTGCTTTATAAAGTAGTTTTTACTTTCCTAATGAGGAAGTTGGAGTAAAGAACAAGCCCTTATTCCGAGGACGTCTGGTTCCACTGTTCTTCCCCGGTGGGGAACAGCACTGCCACAGTGCTGACAACCAGGACGGCTGGTGGGAGTTTTGTCTCCTTTCTCTTTTATTTTTATTCAGCCTTGGTTGGAGCAACAAATGTCTAAAAGGCATGGGGTGGGGGATCAGTCCCTGGCCAGCTGAGTGAGTTACAAAGGGACGTAAATTCCTTTGAAAATTCTTGCTGGGCCGGGGATGTAGCTCAGCAGCACAAGGTGTCCTGAGTTCGATTTCCGGTACTCAAAAAAAGTGTCTTAAAGTTATTGCAGTGTTCTGAAAGCCTTCACATACATGTGTAGCCAGTAAGATGGTTTCCTTTATTTGCCCATAAAATAATTTATTGTCAATCGTACATAATGTAAATTAATGTATTTATTTTTATTCTACATAAAAGCTTCTGCTTTCCAGGTTTGCTCTCACTAATTTATCAGGCACTTTATTTACATATAGAGAAGCTGTTTTTATTTTTGCCCATCAAAATTTTTTCAAAACTAAAACTACTCAGAACCTGATAAAACAGAAACACAAGGTAATGGACCTTGCGGGGGCGTCACAAGGTCGCACGCCAGGGACGATGGACGGGCCCAGTCCCAGCGCCTTCTGCACGGGGCTTCCTTGCCCGCTGTGGTTCAGTCTGCCCATTCACGGTGGGCACCTGTCACCTGTGATTAGTTGTAAACTCAAATAAAATTTAGGAACTATCAACTAGACTCTGCTTCTTTTTGATGCGCTGCAGAGCGGCAGCGTACGCGTGAGTAGCCCGGAGGCCGTGGCTGATGTGAGCGCGGGCTGCTCCTGGGAAGTGCGGGAGAGCAGCTGCTGGCCACACTCAGACTGCAGCCCCGGCCACTCTGCCTTCGCCCGGGCTGTGGGCCAGGCCTGGCTCCGGTGGTTCTCCTGCTGCAGCCCTGCTTCATCGGGCCTGGCACAGCCCCCCACCCCACACCCACTGGGCAGGACACCGGCCCTGGTCACCCCTCCACCCCCACTGCACGGCCCCGTGTGCTCCAGGAGCTCATGAGCAGCCGCCCAGCCATCACATTGAGCCCCCGCTGCCCCCAGCCTGCCATGCTCCAGGGCGCTCCTGGGAGACTAGGCTTTGCTACACCCAGTCTCCGTGTCACCAAACCAAGGATGGGTCCCCAACAGGAAGCCCCTCCGGACGACGGGCCTGCCTGCTTCCAGGATTCCCCCTGTGCCGCCTCCCCTGCCCGCCTGCAAGGTCCCCGGCTTGCTGTTCTGGGCACTCCTGATCTTCACTTCTAAGTGTCGGGGTGCCTTGGGCTAGCTGTCTCTCTTCATCCGCTCCCTCCCCCTCGGTGCTCTTCCGTGGTGCTGTCACGAGCATCGAGAGTGTCGAGCATCGAGCGTCGCCTAGACTGGGTGCTCCCAGGCACTCCTGCAGTCCAGCCTTCTGGCCGGGCTCCGAGTCTCCCTTTCCCAGTGCCGCTGGACGCCTGCCGAGGGTCCTGGCCTTCTGGGCAACCCTGCCGTGTACCTTGACACCTGTATGCTACTGGTCCAGTGACCACAGGGTACACGTTAAGGCCGATCTCCTTGTATAGAGGACTGAGGACTTCCACACATCAGCAAGTCGGCTGCAGGGGCCAGCTCGTAGATGGCTCAGCGCTGACCCCAACACACAAACTGAAATGCTAATTAAAATCACACTGCGATACCACTCACCGGGTGGCAAGAACTCAGAACTGGATGAAATCTTGCTTGGCAAGGCTGCGGGAGACAGAATTACAGGGTAGGAAAGAGGGATAGGGGCTGGGGCAGGCGCCCTGTGTGACAAGGTGACCAAGCCCTGAGCTCCAGATCTGCCACCCACCAGCACCGCCCCCAGGCCTGGCGAGTGAGGACATGGCTGGGTCCCCTGCCATGTGATTTACGGCAGAGTTAGTGGAGCCCGGGTTGCTCTCTGTGAGGAGAGCAGGCAGCCACACCTCTCCACTCCAGTCGGCCACCGAGGACCAGGGGCCCGAGGGAGACGGCAGCCTGCGAAGCCTGGACGGCGCTCAGGCCCTTGCCTGCGAAGCCTCCCCTGCGCCTGCGGGACACAGCGATGCCCCACCTTGTTCCCAGTTCTGCTTCAGCCCTGGGCACCTGGGGTCCCCTCAGCAAGCCTGCTGTGGGCCCCCGTCGCCATCCAGAGCTAGGATGGGCCAGGCCTGACAAAATTTGTCCCTTTCTGGGGCCTCTCACCCTTCCCACGGTGGGGGTGGGGACAGCGGGGTGCCACAGACTCAGCCTTGGGTGTTGTCCTGACTCTGTGGCCAGCTCCAGTTCCAGCAAGGCAAATGGGAGGTGACCTTTCCCACTGTCCGGGAGGACGTCACATGGTGGCTTGGAGGGACTTTGTCACACAGGGTGAGTTTGGAGCCCTGGCCACCAGCAGCCCAGCTCTCCTGCCTGGTTCTGGCTGGTACTATGCGTCTAGTCCAGAGTGAAGTGGGCGTAGGCACCCCACCATTCTGCAGGACCTCTGCCTGTCGGGCGGTCCCTGGGTGGCCCGTCCCATCGGTGACCTCACTCGCAGTTGCTGTGGTGACATCACGCTTCCTCGGTGCGAGCTGGACTAGGCCAGGCAGTCGCCAAGGGAAAGGTCAGGGCCAGCCCTCTGCTCCTGGTCCCTGCCATGCTCCTACTGGTGAGTGCCAGAAGGCAGGAACTCGGTCCGGTCATTACTGGAAATTGAAGAGAAGACACAGGAGGCTGCTCTACATTTAGCTAGGGAATTCCAAGTGGAAAATCTAGGTGGATGCGATCACAGCACAAATTGTCGTGGGGGGAGCCAGACTTACAAAGCCCAGCAGCCACACGGAGACTGGGCCCTGGAACCAGCATTCCCCATGATGCCAAGAAACAGTGGTGTGAGCGGGTGGAGGAAACGGCGTGACGGGGTCAGGCAGGAGACCTGCACCGCCTCAGCAACAAGACCCATGTTAGTGTTAGGGTTAGGGTTCCACCCTCAGCACCCCACAAAACAATGAAAACCATAAAGACGTTCTAGACTTTTCTGCGGTTGATGTGGTTAGAGATTCATGTCTCTGTCTCAGGGTCTCTCTGCATTTCAGGCTGGCCTTGAAATCATGGAAATTGTCCTGCCTCAGCCTCCCCAGTGCCAGGATTGCAGGAGGGCACCTGGCTAAATTGTTTTTAAAACTCTTACAAATTGTCCAAATTTCCATCAATAACCATGTCACATATATTTTTCTAATTATTTAGCAATTACTACTTTTCCAGCCAATAGATTCTCAGGTTCAAATTATAATTGTTTTCTTCAATTCTTATGTGTAGACATTAAATTCAATAAATAACTGTTATATTCCAGCATTTAGAAAGCAAAAGATGTTAGTCTGTGTAGCAGTGGGCACCCAGTGCTTAACGTTGTGAGCCGCTGACTCTGGTGGGTGTGCCTACATCCAAGGAAGTGGCACCTTGAGACCTGACAGCTCGTCCCCCCTGGGCTCAGTCCCACCCCGTGCTGGGCCATTTCAGACGCCCCTCCCCGTGATCTCCGGGGCTTGGACTACAGGAATCCAAGGCCCCCTGAGCCCCTTCCATGTGCACCCCTGCCCAACACAGCCCCACGTGGCACTCAGCATGCGGCAAATTTGAGTTCTGCTCTTGGGGGCTTTCTGGAATTCACTGGCTGGCTCTGTGGACGCGCTGCCCCTGGATGCAGCACCAGCTCTGTGTCCCTCCCTGTGCAGGGTGCAGGGGTGGCAGAGGGCACTCCAACACCCTCGGGTCTCCAAAACCCTGTCCCAAGCAGGGCACTCACAGCCATGGGGTCACCGGGCGTTTCCTAGACCACCAGAGCCCGTGTCATTGGGCTTCAGGAGAGACGCAGTGGCTTTAAACTTCAATTCACAGACAGACACAACACGCAAGCTTCTGTCCCGCAGCTGACTGACCAGAGCGGGCATCAGAGAGCTGGGCTGCCCTATGGGCACTGCCCGGGACCGGCTCTGACCCGGTGTGTGCTGGCCGTGGCCTCCTCAGAGCAAATCTGACCCGAGCATCCCCATTTTAATACACAGCACACTGGTTAGGAACCCGACTGAGCTAGCTTGACACCATACTTCTCCATAAACCTGTTTTCAGCCTGGACGGCGGGCGGGCACACGCCTGTCATCCCAGCACGCGGGGGCGGAGGCAGGAGGGGGATCGTGAGTTCAAGGCCAGCCTGGGCTACACAGCAAAACCTGGTCAGAGAGAGACAGAGACAGAGAGAGAGACTGTTTTCAATTTATTCAAATAGGTACAAGTCAAAAATGCATTTTCACCAAAGGGACTTTTTTCACGTCATCTGTTTGCTGCACGGGAGGACATTACCTATCATTACTTTTTTTTTTTTTTTTTTTTTTTTTGGTCTTTTTCTTTATTATCGGTACTGGGGATCGAACTCACGACTGCCTGCTTGCAAGGCAGGCGCTTATGCCACTGAGCTAAATTCCCAGCCCCCCATCACTACTTTTTTAAAAAGATCTTTTATAATGCGTTTTTATATATATATATATAGTGCAAAGTTACCATTTTAACCATTTTGAACACAGAGTTTAGAGGCATTAAATGCACCCTCGGGGTCGTGCAGCCGGTCACCACAGTCACCTGCAGGGCAGTCCAGTGACCCCCCAACTCCAGACATCTCTAACCCAGCTTCACCCTGCTGCTACACTGCTGCGGTTCAGTCTCTCCATCCGAGACCTGTACCTGGAGCCAGCCTTACCTGACTGTCTCGCTCCACACCACCAGGAGCCGCCCTGCCTTTCTGTCTCAGCTGCCCAGGGCAAATCCCAGTCTCTCTGAGCTGTGTTTTCAGGCAGTTCCCAAAGGACCTTCCCAGATGCCACACTAAAAGTCAGACTTTTTCAAACCACCCTCCGTCTCCCAGCTGTTTTCTGGGAGACCAGGGAGCTCACTGTGAGCACTAGGGTGACGTGGTCCCCGGGACTTGGCACAGTGGGATCTGGGGACACAGGCAGTAAAAGAGTCCCCAGAACTGGGGAATGACCAACATTACGGGCCTGGGTTCTGATCTCTCCTCCATTCTGACTTCCCGTAAACCAGTTCATCTCTGTGAGAAGGGGTTTTCCAGTGTTAAATATATTCACTTTCTGGTTTGGCCTTTTCTAAGGGTGTGGGCTGTGCCCTTGTGTTGGAGCCTTGCCCCTTCCTGTGCAGTCCGATCTTAGGTGGGCTGCTCAGTCTCCAAGGCTCAGGAGAGCCTCTGTTATACAATGTTAATTCCGACCTTAAAAGGTAGCCAGGAAAACCAAGTACGTGGAACTCAACGGCACGTGCTGGGAGCTGCCTGGTGACTGTTCCGTCCTCTGCATTACTGTGGGTACCCTGACACTCCCCCAAAGCGTCATGTGTTTGGAAGGGGACTGGATTATGTCAGCGCTACCACTGACTTGCTGTTCGAGGAGGTGGAGCCTGTGAGCCAAGTAAACCTCTCCTTAAGTCACCTTTGGTGAGTGTTTTGTTCCAGTGACGAGGGAAGTGACTAAGCAAACACAAATTTCACGTAACAACCGATGTGGAGCCAAAGATCACAGATCGGAATCGTCTGTGAGAAGAACCTTGAGCTGTTTCTTTCCCACGGGCTCGGGAGTTGGTGGGGTGCGGTCTGCCGGAGCGTGGGAGCTTGTTCAGGGTGCAGCATCCTCACTGCCGGTCTGCCCAGCCCCTTCCCTGTCACTCAGGGTCCGGGATTCTGCAGACAACCAGCAGAGTCCAGCCAGGAGTCTGGGCCCCAGCACGTCTATCTGACAGGTCATTTTAAAGTCGTAAGATAAAGAATCTTTCCGAAAAAAGAAAAAGAATCTTCCAGGCACCAGGAGCAGAAAAACACTTTTAAAGGGGAAGCTTGCACAGACAGGACTCTGCACTCCGGGAAACCAGCCTGCTCATCTTGACCACGGTTCTTGCAGGATGCGTGTGGCTGATGACGGGAGCAGGACAAGGGGAGCTCCGAGGGGACAGGAAACTAAGGGACCCTCCTGTCCTCACACTGTGGAGGCTGCAGGATGGCCAACGCTGAAGTCTCATTCCCTCCCCAATCCCAAAGAACTGTAGTTAAAACAGACTCTGCAAAGCCCTCCCCATCTGTAAAGCTGCCGCTATGCACACCTGCCTCCCCTACTCCATGCAGAAGCTCTTCACCACGTTCAGGCCGTACCTGGCCCGCACCGCGCCCCACGCACCCGCTCTGAGAGCTGAGCACAGAGAGCCAGGCAGCCCGGCACCCTGCGGGGAATTGCTTCACGGAAGCAGAGTAAGACCGGCAGAGGCCACGGGAGGATTCACCAGCCACACGCAAGGCGGGGTGGCTGAGGCCGGCAGGCACTGAGGAGGGAGGGCTGGCTCCGGGACACTCTTGGGGACACTGGTGTTCCTGCCAGGCGAGGGTCCTGGCCTCCACCAGCAGGCGTCCAGTATTCTGTCCGGGAGACAGGGCTGCCCCAGTCACTTGCCCACGTGGTGGCGTGGACTCCCGCTTACTTTGCATCGGGCATCTGGACCCCTTTCACATGTGTCCCTTTGACATGCTTTGGCTTTGTGCATCTTGTTTTGTAAGCACTTTCTTACTTCCTGGGTTATAAAACACTCTGGGCTTGTTTTCTGCAGTTTCTGGGCCTGTTTCCACAGAGCAGCTCTGTGTGAGAAGCGCTGGTGTCCTGTACCGGAGGAGGTTGTGTGTTTGCTGCTATGGGGGCATTGGGCCCTTTCAGCTGAGAGGGCAAAGGTGTGCATACATGCATGTGCGTGTGTGTGTCCACTACCCCAAGCACATATCGTCTCTGTGCACACCACTGTATGCAGCCACCTAGACCCTGAGACCAACACGTGTCCATCCCCGCCGCTGCAGCTCTGGTCACTACCACATGGACGGACACAAAGCCTTCCATCGCCTCTGGCATCTCCCACTGGTACGTGGGAAACCTGGCTCCCACTGTGGTAGGAGATTAACACATCAAACAACCGGGCAGATGTATCAAAGCCAGAGAACCCAGAGGACACACACAAACACAACTCCTAGAAGAACTGCAGAGCCTCAGCCTGTGATCTGTAATTCTTCAGTCCCAGGTGGCAGGACCCCAGTAAGTCTTTCTGTAGAAAAGTTTAAATCTGGCACCCGGCTGAGTGAGTATTTGCTGGTGCCCTGTTTGCACACGGAGGATCCAACCTGGGGTTTTGCTGCCTTTTCTGTGTGTCTTGTGTTCAGGGTGCTGGGGACCTGGAAAGAAGCCCCATGGGGCCCTCAGCTCCCACCCACAATCCAGCGACACTGCCACCACCCACTTCCTTAACGGTCCGAGTCTAGTATGCACCTGCACTAGGGTCAGTGCTGCTGTCCAGTACCTCCTTGCGATGGCCACACCATGTCTTTGTCTAATGATCGGTTAGCATCACCTCCTGTGGTGTGCATGATGTGCCAGGCTCCACTGCCTCAGTTTCCATGAGAAGATGTAACAGGTGACAGCTCTGTGGCCGACAGCAGATGTTTGTGGAGCAGGAAGACAGAGGGAAATTTGAGGCCGGGCCAATGGCCACAGTGGACATTAAGAATTCAGCAGGAACGGGAACCACAAAAAAAAAAAAAAAAAAAAAAAAAAAGACCAGAAGAGAAGGCCTCCCTTCTTGTCCCCAGAAGCTTACAGAAATGTTTCTGAAGCCTTGGGAATCATCTCAGAATGTGGGATAGGCTTATATTCTTCAAGGTGGAACAGGGTGAGCCCCTGTGTATTAGTTACCTTGCCTCTGCTGAGACAAGTGCCCACCACACGCAGTCCACAGGATAAGAGGTTTATTGTGGCTCACAGTTTGCGAGGCTCCCATCTACGGCTCCTGGTTCCGAGGCAGCAGCATCACAGCAGAAGGGGCTGGCAGGGCAAAGCTGCTCACCTCATGGCAGCCAGGAAGCAGAGCAGGGCGGAAAGAACCGGGCAGGAAGGTGCCAGGGACAGATACACCCTTCCAAGAGACACCCCAAGATCTCCTTCCTCCTCCTGGGCCCCACCTCCTAACAGCTCACTCAGTTATAAGTTCATTTGTGGATTAGTTCACTGACCAGGTCAGCACCCTCAGGATCCAGTCACCTGTGAAGGCTGTGCCTCTGAGCAAGCCTTTGATACACAGGTCATTGGGAGACATTTCGGTTCAGCCGTAGCACCTGGAAATCTTAGTGGCTTCGTATGGCAAACACTTTGGGCCGTTGTAGGTCATGAAGTTCCCTCCATACACAGTCATTCAGAGCACCCAGCCCCTAGCACCCTGCAGAGGGCACAGAACATTGTTAGGAACCAGACAGACATGGGCGTGGCTTGGCTCACGTGTACCGGTGGTCCATCCAGGTGCAAGGAGGGCAGGAAATGCAGTCTTCCAGGAACAAAAAGGAGCCACATAGCATCCACCTCCACCATGGCACTCTAGACATTTCACGTGGGCTTCCAAGAGACTGGTGTAGGAGCTGAAGGACCTGAGGCTTCGGGGCATATGAGGAGTGAAACCCACAGAGCTCACAGACCTGGCCAGAGTCACCAATGCCAAGTTCTCAGTGTGGAGAATCTAGGACCTAAGCTGGGCTCTGGCCACAGAGCCATGGGCAAGTGATGATCACACAGTCTCTTCCGGCACTGAGTCTGCTCACCAGAAGGATGCGGAGAGGCTGACCGCACCTCTGGAGCACATGCCAGGCTGGGCTGCACACCCGCGAGATCAGCTTGGCACCACCCCAGACTCCATCATCCCAGGACCTTGGGATGACAGGGCCAGAAGAGGCCATCCCAGTGACCACTGCAGCCCACAGGGTGGCCACTGAACAGGGAAAGGTGGCAAGGACAACTGGTGGCTCCTGCTGTCCCCAAATGGAACCTGAGACATGCTCTGGGGTCAGACAGAGGAGTGGGCTTGTTATGGTTTGTGTCTGGGTGGCCCCCCAAGTCTTACACAGTCATGGAGGTGACTGAACCCAGCATTTATGATTGGTTCATTGTCTAGCACTGGGATTGGTGGCAGGGTACTGCACCCGCCGAGAGGCAGGTAACCAGCATACAGTATGGGGGAGGGAAAGAGGTGTGCTTTTCCTTTTTTCCCCTGTCTTGGAGCCTACTGAATATGGGATAAAACCTCCAAAACCTGTAAGATAAATAAACCTATCCTTCCCTAACTTGGGGCATCTCAGCAACAAGAGAAAAGCAACAAGACAGAATTTGGTACCAGGAGTGGGGTTGTTGCTGCGCCTGTGCCTGACCATCTGGCTCAAGAGCCTTTGGGAATGGCTTGTGGGAAGAGTTTGGAAAGGTTCAGAGATGCCAGCTGAATACACAGAGCTGGAACACCTTAGGCTGTTCTGCATGAGAGACTCTGGTCAGAGCTCAGGAGACCAAAAAGCTATTAGAAGGCTGCTGGTGAAGACCAGGCTTGGGAGGTTTCTGCTGGGCAGAACTGGATTGGTATTGGACTCCAGCTGATGTGTGTTATGGCCTGACAGAAAGTTTGTCTGCATTTTGCTCATGTCCAGAGATTTTACCTGAGATGGAAGGCAGCAGACTGACTAATCTGGCAGAAGAAATTTCAAAGCAGTCGAATGTTGAGGCACTGGCATGGCTATTGTTGGGGGCTTTTAGCCAGATTTATGTTGCAAATCAAGAGCAAAGAGCCCAACAGGATGATTTAAAATATTGTGAGTTTGACCAAAAAGGAAACTCCTGTAAAGCTGCAGACTACAAAGATAGAGCTGAGGAGATCTTGATTTCTGAGAAAAAACAGAAAAATAAAAAAGATGGCCTGGAGACAGCACCGGAAGTGGTGGCAGGTCTCCACCCTTTGCAGCCTCAAAACTACAAAAGTGAATCACTTTGCTGACAAGAGAAAACTACAGAGCACCGTGTTCAGAATGACAGCAGAGGCAGCAGGCACACCAGGTTCCAGAATGGTGGCAATATAGAGAACCTTTTCCTCAGAGTCAGGCTCAGAGAGCTCAGCAATCCCCTACAGTTAAAAGAGGAGAAAGCCTGGCTACTGCTCCACCTGGCAGCGGGCCTCAGCAGCATCCACGTGGCACTGGTTTTAGGCCCACTCAGAATGCAAGAGTTCTGAGCTTAGGCAGCTTCCACCCTGATTTCAGAGGACCTGGGAGGCCAGGCAGTGTGCCCCTGAGAGGGCCGTGTGTGTGACCGGCGCAGCTCCAATGAAACAGGAGACAGGAGACGCTTTTGTGGACGACAGTTAACTGCTAGTTTATTTAGGCGGGCTCTGGTTTATATATTCGGCCGTGACCAATCACAGGCTGCCACAAGGAAGCAGGGCGGGAATGGGATGCAGGCTCCGGCTACTATATCCAGCTGTGGCCAATCAGGAGTTGCCACAGAGTATGGAGTGAGCACGAAGTGCACACGGGTTGGCTAATTTAAGGAGGGACGTAGCGCATTGCGGAAGCTGGCGTGGTCCTTAGTCCCGGGTGGGGTATGGTATGTTGAGCGCCTGCGCCCAACATCTCCCCCTTTCTTTATAACTGACGCAGGGTCTCCAGAGGTCGGTGCCCCTCGTGAGGTGTCCTGCTGCAGTCATGACAATGCCTCACTACTCGTTGGTGCTCTTTTGGAGGGGGCGGGAAATCTGTTTTATGAGCCCAACCCGCGTGCTCGCCAACATGGGGACCGGGGTGTCTCCTGGCCAAGGACGACACCCCCTGCGATGCTTTGCTCCACACCTGCGTCACAGCATGGCGAGCCATGCTGCCGGGCTTTGACCAGATTCCATGATCAGCAATGCTTGTTTGATACTTTGTCCCTATTCCTTTGTCTGCGAATCCGACAGAGCAGAAGTAGACTGCCGAATGCGGCAAGTGTAGTCATGGTAGCCAGAGCCCCTGTTCCTGCCCATTCCTTTATGAAAGCCAATTGGAGAGTTGGCCCGAGCTGGATCACAGGAAACTCGTCTGAGTCCGCCATAACTGGAACCGGTGCGAACTGGAGTACCTGCATAACAACAGCTGAAAGTGTACTGTTATCCCAACATTATAACATATAACAGGTTGCGGTGGAGCAATTTAGAAAAGTCATTGGCTGCAAGGACCGTACGAGATGTAAGAAGGAGGGGAAAAGGAGGCTACTAACCAGGGGAGTTGGCCAAGGTGCCATGGTTAATGGGAGTTGTGGGTATACTTGCTTGGTCTGGCTTGTGAGGCTCCTGTTGGTTCCCCTGTTCTGTGGTTGACGTTTCCTCTGGGTCGGGGTCTGGTGGTTTGCAGGGATGTATCAGGCGTTCCGGGACCCAGACAGGTTCGCTGCCTTCTTCCTGCGGGAAGACACAGACCGCCCCTCTCGCCCAACTAAGTACTGGGCTGGGGCCTCTCCACACCCCATGCAGGAGGTCTTTCCAGCGTACCCAACCATGTTTGGGTGCGACAGGGTTGGCATGTAGCTGTGCTGGCGTGGATCCTTGTGGGTTGATGTTTACATAAAAATTGTAAGTGAAGAGGGCAAGATTTAGTCTGGCCCTAGGTGTCATGCCCTGGGCAATACCCTCCTTTTGTTTAAACAGAATAGACTTGAGGGTTTGATATGGCCTAACTTTAATTGCTCTTGAATAAGTTTGGATGCGGCTTTTGTTTTGTCTCGTGGTAGGGCCATCAACAATGGCAAGCCCGACTCCTGCCAAGTTAACGAACTACACCTGGTGCTGACCCAGAGCAGCTGTGAGCTGCTTAATGAGCGGCATGGCTGTCTCTGCGTCTCTAAAAACTCTCCCTGCTGCCTCCATCATGTGGGCCACAAAATCTGAAAAAGGCTCGCTCGGGCCCTGCAAAATTTTTGTCAAGTGGCCTGAGACTTCTCCCCTAGCTGAGACCCGTTTCCATGCTTGTATGGCTATTCTATTTATCTGTGCATACACCTCTTGTGGAAATATCAGCTGGTTATTGAGATACTGCCCTTGTCCTAATAACATATCTACGTTCCAGGCGGCCTGATTGTTCTGGACATTAGCTTGGGCCTGTTCTGTGGCAAGTTCAACATTCCAAGCTTTCCAATCAAGATATTGGCCTGGGCTGAGCACTGCTTTGCACAAACTGGCCCAATCAGCAGGTGTCATGGCATTTCCTGCCATGGCTTCTACTAGGGACAGGGTATACGCCCCATTAACACCGTACATGGTGCTGGCCTCCTTAAGATGCTTTATCGCCTTCATATCTATAGGCAGGTGGGCTCTGTTTCCCTGAGCATCTACAGCAACTGGAAAAGCCTGGAGAAAACGGCCTAGGCCTCCTGGGTCCTCTCTTTTGACCTGATGCCAAAGGTCTTCCTGGAATGTCCCAGGGGACGTCTGGACCCGTTGCGGACAGCTACATAGCTGATGGCAGGGTCTCTGGTGGGCATGATAATCTGGCGGGCCGGGAGGTAGAGCTGTAGGTCTTATACAGGGCGGCCCTGGGATCCCGTACTCACTTTCATTGACCCATTTACTCTGAGAAATCCTGCGTTGCAGCTCATTTATGGCCTCAGAGTAGGGCCCTCTCGACTGCGTGTGTGTGACTTCCCCTCTTTCGGTGGTGTCTGCATCCGCCATTTTGTATACTTCTCCTTCCTCCCCCTCATTATCTGACGAGTCCTTTGTTTCTGAATTGGGTGGGGTCACCTCGCCTGCGGCACTGGGCTCACGAGATTGCTCACGGGAGGATTCTGCCTGATGGTAATCAAGCGCCATGGCGCCAGCCCTTATATGGTCACGACAAGAGGTGTCTGCAAGGCAGCTTCTCACCACTGCCCAAAGGGGTCTGACTCCTGGCTCCAAGAGGCCATTTTCTGCTGCAAAGTCAAGATCTCTCCCTAATTTATCCCAGCTGGGGATGGTAACGGACCCCGTGGGACCAAACCAAGGTGCTACCTTATCAACCTGATCGAGAAAGTTTTGAATTTGTTCTTGTTTCATTTGTAATCCCTTTTCTCTCAGTAAGTCGCTTAAGGCGACTGACAGTGGCTGAGTAGCCGTGTTACCCATGTTAACCGGAATTTCAAGAGTTTCTTTTTTTTTTTTATACAGGGACAGCTTAGTCCCCGCGCCCCTTTACGGCGCCCCCAAAACCGGCCTCTTTACGGCCCCCGGAACTCTCTTTACGAGTTCCTGACCCTTGCGACGCGTCCGCCCAAGGTTGCCCGATAGCCCCCGCTATCCGGCCCGCAGCCCCCGCTGCCTGTTGCGTAGCCCCCGCTACCAACATTGAGCAGTTTAACCTGTCAGCCCCCGCCCGCCAAGTAGCCCCCGCTATCAGCGCTTGACGGTTTTACCTGTTAACGTCTCTGTTCCATCGGAGAGAGGGTCTCAGCTCTCCTCGTACTGTCGGAGAGAGGGTCTCAGCGTTCCGGGAGAGAGGGTCTCAGCGCTCCCCGTATGGGCCACCAGTTGACCGGTGCAGCTCCAATGAAACAGGAGACAGGAGACGCTTTTGTGGACGACAGTTAACTGCTAGTTTATTTAGGCGGGCTCTGGTTTATATATTCGGCCGTGACCAATCACAGGCTGCCACAAGGAAGCAGGGCGGGAATGGGATGCAGGCTCCGGCTACTATATCCAGCTGTGGCCAATCAGGAGTTGCCACAGAGTATGGAGTGAGCACGAAGTGCACACGGGTTGGCTAATTTAAGGAGGGACGTAGCGCATTGCGGAAGCTGGCGTGGTCCTTAGTCCCGGGTGGGGTATGGTATGTTGAGCGCCTGCACCCAACATGTGTGAAGCCAAAGGAGCAAAGGAAAACACAGAAGTTTACAAAAGCCAGAGTGTGGGTTATCTGAGGAAACCTGCAAGGAGAGAGCAGAGCCTCCCCGAGGCAGAAGCCCTGGGAACTGAAACCCCTGGCAGTGCCGTGGGAGTGGAATCATTCAAGTCCTCTGGAGCTCATGACCAGATTGCTTCAGATGCTGGACATGGAGCTCCAGGACTTAATGTTTGCCCTGCTGGAGTTTGGACTTGTTTTGGTTCCAACCCTCTTTATCTCCATTTGTACCTTTTTAAATGATAATGTTTATCTTGTACCATTGCATGTTGGAAGGGTTTAACTTTGTTTTCATTTGTACAGGGGGTTACAGCTCAAAGTTTGCCTTAGATCTCAAAGACTTGGGACTTGAACTTCTCCGCAATGCTGAAACTGTTAGGACTCTGGCAACTCTTGCAGATGGGTTAAATGCCTTTTGTATAAAGGATGTACATGAGTCTTTGGGAGGCCACAGGTGGAATGTTGTAGTTTGTGTCTGGGTGCCCCCCACCAGCCCCATGCAGTCGTGGAGGCTTCTGACCGTAGCGTTTGGGATTGATTTGCTGTCTAGCCCTGGGCTTGGTGGTGTGAGTGCTGCACCTGCCCAGGGGCAGAGAGTTGATGTACCGTGTAAGGCGGGGAGGAGCCTGCCTTGTCCCTCTTCTGCCTCTTTACGCTTGTCCTTGCAGCTGCCATGAATGCTGTTCCTCAGCCCGCCACCCTGCCTTAGAGCCAGCTGAGTGCGGATCAGGCCTCCAAAACTGTAAGCCAAGTAAACCTTTCCTTGCCTCACTTTGGGTGTCAGTTATTTATTGATTTTCTGGTCTTTTTCTTTTTTATCAGTACTGGGGATCAAACTCATGACCACACACTTGCAAGGCAGGTGCTTATGCCACTGAGTTAAATCCCCAGCCCCCAGGTATTTTGTCCCAACAATGAAAGAAAAGTAACCAAGATAGGGCTCGACCTCGTGTTGAGATCAAAGACCTAGGGCGAGGATGGGAAGAAAGAAAGGGGTTTTTATCTTCTGCACACCAGCTGCTTCACCAGGTAAAGACCTTGCAGGTGGGGCTGGGCTGGCAGAGGCTTAGGGGTGACCCAGGGCTCAGCTGAGTCCTGACGCAGCCATGTGGACAGCATGCCCAGCCCACTCTTCACCCCCAGCCGCACCTGCAAGGCCTTGTCCCTCGGTTCTGCACCCAGGCCAAGCGCCTGTGACGGCGGCCACTGCACACAGCCCCACAACCCCCATCGAGCTTGCCTTTTCTTCCTTTCTTTGTCTTTTTTGAGAGAGGCTCTCACTATCAGTTCAGGCTGGCCTTCAGCTTACTTTGTAGCATGGGCTGGTCTCCAACCCACAGCAATCCTCCTGCCTCAGCCTCCCGAGTGCCGGGGAATCACAGGCGTGTAGCACCAGGCCTAGCCAAGCTTGGCTTTTCTTTTTTCTTTTCCTTTTTTTTTCTTTCTTTCTTTCTTTCTTTCTTTTTTTTTTTTTTTTTTTTGGTTTTTTTTTTTGTTGCCAGGGATAAGCTTGCCTTTTCTAAGCCTGGGTCTGCAGCCACTGAGTCCCTTCCAATGCTCTAACCAACCATTCCATGACAGAGCACAGTATTACATCTGTGGAGGTGTTTAACTATGCATTTGTAAGACACTGAAAGAAAAATACCACTCATCTTAGAGTCAGATTTTTGACAATATTGTTTTCTCTTCATTTTTCGCATTTTCTGCAATGCACATGTCAGTGTTGCACATCCCTGGCCCGAAAACCCAAATACAAAATGTTCCAAAATCCAAAGCTTTCTGGTTGCTGACAGGATGTCTTAAGTGGAAAATTCCACAGCAAAGATGCAGGCAATTGTTCAGAATATAGTTTAAAATTATCTTTAGGCTATTCACATAAGTCATACATGAAACACACATGAATTCCATGTTTACAGGTGGGTTTCAAAACCAAGATATATCATAAGTTTATACCATATTCCAATCTGAATCTGAAAAAATCTGAAACATTTCTAGTCTCAAAAGTTTGGATAAGGAATGTCATGTTATGGCTGACACTTAGATGTCCCCCTAAAACCTCATGCATTCATAGGCAGGACCTTTGGAAGGTGACTGGACGTGGAGCGCATAGCTGACTTGCTGCAAGGAGGCAGGGCCTGGTCGGAAGAGGTGACCTTGGAGGGTCCCTCCCTTCTCCCCTCCCCCTCCCTCCCCTTCCCGGACACCATGAGGTGAGCAGCTTTCCTCCACCCAGGTGCTCCCAGCATGCTGCTTCTGCCTTGGACCCAGCTGACCATGGACTGAACCTTCTCCAAACCATAAGCCAGACAGATCTTTCCTCCTTCACGTCATGGGTGTTAGTATCATGTGCCAGCAATGAGGGAATAACTAAGCACCATGTTTTTTTGCAGTTTTGTAAAAAGCTGCCTGTCCCACCAAACACAGAAATGCTGACTGTTGTAGTGAGGAGTTGTGCAGAGAACAATTAGAATCAGGACACAGAATTTATATTGTTTTATGATGGCCACCCAGAGTTAAACAGAGAAAGTGCAGCAAATCTGTCCACAACATAAAGACTCAGAATATTCAGCCAAGGGCCTGGATCCCACAGCAATGTGTCCAGTGAAGACATAGAGCCCATGACAACGCCTCCCACGCATCCACCTGGAGGTCCAGAGCCCACAAGAAGGACTCACACAAGTCTGTTTTATGGATCCACGCTGGGAAGGCCCAAAGGTCAACGGTAAAGCCAGAAAGTCCACGCCAGCGGGGTGAAGGAGCTGTGCTGGTGGGATGAGGGTTCTACACTGGAGCCGAGAAGTCAAACTCACAGCGAAGACCAGGGCTGTCCTGAAGAGCACCACAGCCATACTCAGCAACACAGAGGTCCTGAGCTCTTCCAACAATAAGAACAGTCGAGCATGTGCCAGAGAGCCAGCATGACGAGTTTGTTTGGAGATTAAACAGCACACATCTTCCCCTCCGGAGCCAGGAAGCGATGCTTGATGTAAGGAGCAGAGCTCCCCAAAGTGAACCACAGCCACTCTCACCAACAAGGCCCTGAGCTCCTCCCATGACAATGGCTGGACTCACACTGGGGAAGCTGGTCATGAGAGCTCCTCCAGGAGAACCAACAGCTCAAATAGCAACACTTAGAGAAACCCACAACGCCCGGCTCTTCTCCACATCTCTATTTATGCTGGCAGCTTTCGTCAGGTGGGCCGTCTATGCTCAGCGCCCTGCTGATTTAATGTCGATGTCGCTCCCGGCCGGCAGGAAGGACACACGACAAAGTCTGGCAGTGGACAACCTTTTCTTTTATTTTCTCTCCGTACAGCCTGCCCTGGGATCGCTCCCAGCCGAAGCCTCCTCTGGTCCGCTCCCCGCGGCTCCTTCCGTGCTTCGCTCCGAAGCCTCTACCGGTCCGCTCTCCGCGGCTCCTTCCGGGCTTCTACTTCCCCCCAGGGGTGGCACCAGTATATATACGGATACAGTGTCCAATCATATTAAAGTAAGCAAGGCAAGCTGATTGGCTAACATATTATTGAGCGGGTTGTTTACGCGGTAAGCAGGAAACTAACGTGCTCGATGGGAGGGGTAATCTAACTCAGGCTTTACTCTTTACCACAGGCCGCATGATCGCTATATGCGGCGGCTCGGCAATGTGGTGGCTCCCAACAATTTAATTCAGCTGGCGTTAAGTTGACTCCCAGTTTTTATCCATAACACTGACTTTCCAGAAGAATGTTCTAAATGAGCTTTTCAAGGGTATATGCAGTAGCTAAAATGGAACAGGGTCCCTGCCCAGCCTCCCGTCCGTCCCTGTCATTAGTGAGAACACCACGCTGGTCTACATCACGGCAGGAGAGTGAGCCAAGGCGGTGGCCAAGAGCACACAGGACAAGATTTCTTCAGTGCGTTTCCAGGCTTCCAAAGCCTCTGTGGGACACACACGGAGCAATCACTTTCTAGCGTGTTCTGTTGATTGTTACACGGTGCGCCCGAGTGCACCCACCACAGGGCCCGAGCAAACCCACCACAGCCCCCAGTGTGCTGTCAGAAGTAAGTGTTGCCCTGATGGGTGTAAAGGGTGGAAGACAGGACAGTGTAGGTCCAGTGTCACCGATGGCTGGGGGGACAGGGCTGCTGGGGAGGACACAGGCTGCTCCCTCACTGACAGACGTCTGTGATGAGGAGGAGTGGAATGTGTCCACCACAGCTGTATCTTTCCACTGGCTTCATGGTGGAGAAACACCGATGAGCTTGATTTTGAGTTCTAATTCAGTGTTTCGCATGAGAAAGAACACCCATTCCTTGGCCATTCACTGGGAGGCTAAATTCAGGGAAAGCAGCTTTTTTAAACTCGCACTGTGCGTGTGGACAAAGGAAATGTGGTTGGAGTCCCCGGAGGGGTCGGCACATTCGGAACTGGAAACCGTTCTGTCCAGGTTAATGGTCATAATTCATGTCACAGTGAGACACCACGTGTAACGCTAGAGGCCGAGGGACACAGCTCAGACTGCACAAATCTCTGGTCTGCAGATTGGGCAGCCTCGCAGCTCATTAGAGAATGCCCTGTCCTAAGCACGTGTTTTATCTCCAAGCTAGTTGACTGTCAATTACCGGACAAGGAAGCACAGGTTGAGGGAAAGAGAGCAGTAGACAGGCCCATGGCAGAGGGAAGGATTGAGGCTGAGCTGAGTCTGTGAGGACGGTCATGGTGTGTGCTTCAGCTTTGCAGAACTGTAACACACCAAGAGGATCGGCTTATAAAGAACAAAGGTTCCTCTCGGCTCACGGATTGAAAGGCGCCTGCCCATGACTGATGGATCTTGCTGCTTCGAGCCTTCGAGGAGACAGCAAGTCACAGCAGTGGAGCAGCAAGGTGCCTGCACAGCTGGACGTGAGAGAGGAGGGGGGCCCTAGTAGGGCAGTGACCAGTGACCTGGAAGCTGCCCCGAGGCCCTGCCTCTCCACCCCTCCCGACAGTGCTGCAGGCTGGGGACCAAGACTTGGACCCTTGGGCCTTGGGGGACACTTAGGATCCAAAGTGAGCCACGTGGGAGATTTCCTCTGAGCCAGCACAGCCCCACCCTTGGGCACAGTCCCCAGCCCCAGCTAAACACTAGGCAAAACCTGGGATGCATTAAAGACCACTGCCATGAGTCAGGCACTGCAGAGCGGGCCTGTATTCCTGGGAGGCTGAGGCAGGAGGACTTGAGCAACTCAGCGAGACCCTGTCTCAAAACAGTTTTTTGAAAAAAGTTCTGGAGACGTAGCTCCGTGTGAGGTCCTGGGTTCAATCCCAGAACGGCAATGCTTATCCACCAATCTCCGTGCACACCCACACACACACACACACACACACACACACACACTCCCTGGGGTTCTGACTACACGCCCTGGGGGACCCAGACTTCCAGTACTCATGTCTGCTCAGCTATGCGCACACTCCAGGAGCCTATGTGTGTCCCACCCTGATGGACAGTGGGGGGAGACCCAGCCCAGGAACTGGGGTCCTTCATGTCTCACCGTGGGTCTGGGGCCACACAGCTCACAGCGAGCCGCATGGTGGCCTTGAGGGGACCCACCCACTGGGCAGCGTGCACCCGCAGGGTACCAAGTCTGTGGGGAGCAGAGGACAGGAACAGCTCCTGGCCTCCCTCAGGTCTCACGGGCTGGGATGCAAACGGAGGGGTCCCGGGTGACAGCGGGGACTGACAGAGCCGGCCGTCCTCCTGTCCCCCGTCCCCTCCCCAGCGTCACCATCCTGCAGATGACCCCGGCCTTGGGCCTGCACCCAGCGTCCTCGCCCAGCTGGCTTCATCTTGGTGCCACACTCACGCCCTGTGGCCATGCACGGCACCACCCGAGGCAGCTGGGACTCGGGCCAGTCCACCTGGGCCACTTGGGGTCAGGAAGAGAGAAACTCTGCCCCCCGGGGCTGAACCCCAGGCAGACAGTGATGCCAGCACCTAGGAACAGGGTGCAGCAGAGGTTCCTGATGCACCCCACATTCTGAGGGGGAGGCTGGCCCTTTATAAAATTTTTATGACAAGGTGCATTCGGGAATTAAAACTCAAACTCGAGCCAGACATGGTGACATACTCCTGTATTCCTAGCACTTGGGAGGCTGAGGCAGGAGGATCACTGCAAATCTGAAGCCAGCCTGAGCTACCTACTGAGTTCAAGACCAACATGAACTGCATAGCAAGACCCTGTCTCAAAATAATAATACTACTAATAATAATATTCAAACATGATGGAGATAGATGCCATCTTCCTATAACAGACATTTTTAAAAGGCACATTTTGCAGCTCTCTGTAGCTGGAATGTAGACTCTGGTTCTTCCACGTCACATCTGCTGCTCCTTGGAGGACCTGGACGCTAAAGTTAGTTTCAAAAGGAAGCGGGGGACCTCTGTACTATCTCACTGGCACCGTGGAGACAGAGATGCGGTCCCCCAGAAGGGTGACAGCAGGGGCCCCAGAGACCTCTTACCAGACCAGCGTTTGGAGAGACTGCTGGGGTCTCAGTCCTGAACTGGATCCCGCAGGCCCTCCTGAGCTGTCTGATATTAACCCTGGAAGGACTTCCAGCCTGGACGGGTTTTCTACAACTGCCTGCATGACCTTGCCACAAGGATGTCTACTGAACCCCCATCTGACATCTACACCCCTGTGGGGCCCTCCTCCCTCGGCGTGGGCAGGCGGACATTACTGACAGCCTCAGTGGTGGGCATGGCTTGGGGACCGGGTGCCTCTCTCCAGCCCCCCCCCCCCGCAACTGTGCTGCCACCACCCCAGGAAGGCAACCCCACACCCCAAGGCAGCCTCAAGCACAGGGTGCTGAGCGGCCCTGGCCCCGGGGCCATGTTGGAGGGGGGAGGGGAAGAAGGCTGGGAGGGGAGAGGACCCCTTGCTCTCTGGCTCCCAAAGGAGCCCGCTGCAGACCCGCACCCCATTTCACTCACAGAAACCAAGGGAAGCAACACACAGTGTGTGCCAGGGGCCGACTCTGTTCAGCACTGCAGAGCCCCGTGCAGGCTTCGTCTGGCCTGGAACCAAACCCCCGTCTGCAGCGCCGCCTCCGACAGACCCCCGGGCCCCTCTGTCTCAGTCCTGGTGCAGGCGGAGCCCAACACCTCGGGCTTGGCCTTGGGCCTTGGCTTTTCCTCTCCTCTG